AGGGTGATGTTGCGGCGTGCTTTGTCCCGGGTGATCTGCAAGCCAAGGTAGCTCCGCAGCTCACCCAGGTCAGTGCAAGTGTGTCTCTCCTGCAGCTCCGTCTTCACCAAGGCCAGAGCCTCTGTGTCAGCAGTAGCAAAAACCAAGTCGTCAACGTACACAAGAACGTAGAACGGCGGCAGGGAAGTGTCTATGCGCAGATTCAGCGAAGGGTCAGCAATCGAGGGAGCGAAGCCAAGAGCCGCAAGTGTAGTCCTCAGTGTGTCGTGCCACTTGCGGGGTGCCTGTCAGAGGCCGTAGACTGTTCGCCGAAGACTCGATAGGGTACCCTCAGGAAATGGCCCAGTGAAGCCACGTGGACGGCGCAACCAGATAGCCTCGTGAAGGCTACCCTGCAAGAATGCTGTCGAGAAGTCGAGGGAGTGCAACTCGTAGTCGCGCTGTGCTGCAACGTGCAGTAGCACCTGAAGAGTGGTCATCTTCGAGGTAGGGGAGAAGGTCTGAAAGAAGTCGACCCCCTCACGTTGACTAAAGCCTGGAGCAACGTAACGCGCCTTGAAGGCAAGCGGAGAACCCAGCGGCCAATTCACTCTGAAAATCCACATGCCATCGACTATGTTTGCCCCAGGTGGGGGAACCTCGTCAACGTAGGTGCCTGTGGACTTCCAGGAAGCCATCTCTGCGTCCATGGCTATCTGCCACCGAGAGAAGTACGGACCCATGATCGCCTCTACGTTAGTGCGTGGGGTCGGGATGTCTGGTGCATCCGGGTCTCCCTCAGGGAAAAGATGCGGTGCAGCGGCCGCGAGGCACTCAAGCTCAAACTGCCTGTCCTCAAAGGATGTCACAGCCAAGGGCAAGATCACCCCCAACGGACGGAAGACAGGAAGAGTCAAAAACAAAACTCGCAGCATAGTCAAGGCGGCACAAAGCAGCAAAGTCAACAGGCTCAGCAACTAAGGCAGATGTAGCAACAGACTCAAAGGAAGGGTCAGTCACAACTGTGGCAAGGAGACGAGTGACAGTCGGACTGGCAGCACAGACAAGGTCAGACTAAGGGTCAGGAACGTGCAGAAGAGAGGACGTAGGAGGCGACGACAGGACAACATGCTGTGGAACAGAGGAAGGACGGAGTGTCATGTCGTGAGTGCCTGGTACAGCCGGAGCACAAGGACGATGAACACGACGAGCACGATCAGGGACAGAAGCTCTAGTCTTAGGCTCTCGATGCTCAAGAGTGGAAGCACGAGTCTCAGGCTCACGAAGCGCAGTCAGGGACGCAGTCGCCTCAGTGTGAGGAGCAGGAGAAGGCAGCGGGGAGCCACGCAATAGTGGTGGGAACAGTAATGGGGGAGTAGTGCGAGGAACGGGGAAATCAGTAGCAGTAGGTGGTAGACTGAGAAGGCGACTAAGCGCAGACGGCTGTGGCTGAGTAGTCGCACCCCCAGAACCTCCAGCTCCAGTAGCAACAGCACCCCCAGAACCAGTGCCTCCAGCTCCACCACCGGGACTGCCCCAACGAACAGCCCACTCGCTAAAGCTGCAGCGGCGAGAGTGACTCCTGCCGACGAGCACCACTAACTCCAGTACCTCCAGCACCTCCACTAGCACCTCCAGTACCTCCAGCAGTACCTCCTGTAGCACCTCCTGCACCTCCAGCACCTCCAGCAGCTTTTGTGCCTTCAGTACCAGGAACACCAGCACTAGCACCTCCAGGGCTAGTACCTCTAGAACCTCCAGCACCTAAAGCAGCTCCTGTGCCTCCAGTACCAGGAACACCAGCACCAGCACCTACAGGGCTAGTACCTCTAGAGCCTGCACCTCCAGCAGCACCTGTGCCTCCAGTACCAGGAACACCAGTACTAGTACCTCCAGGTCAAGCACCTCCGGAACCTGCAGCTCCAGCACGTCCAGCGCCACCACGAGGACTACCCACAGTAGCAGCACCTCCAGTACCTCCAGCTCTAGGAGAGCAAGCACGGCTAGCTCCACCACCAGGGCTGCCCCACTGTACCGCCCACTCACGAAGCCGCTCCGGCGAGAGAGCCTCCTGCCGACACGTAGCGGGACCACCAGCACCAGTACCTCCAGTACCTCCTGTACCGAGAGGACACTCAGCACCCTCAGACCTAGCACCCTCAGAACCAGAACCTCCAGTGGTACCACCTCCTGCAGCACCAGAGTCCACAGCGACAGGCTGCAGCGGCGGTGAAGACGGTCGAGGCTGAAACCCAGGAGGGACCACCAAGCGTGCAGAGCGGCGAGGGGTCACCGTGGCAGCAGGAGTCGGGTCACCCCCCTCAGCTGGGCCAGAGGTGTCCGAGGAGACCTCCAACGGCTCAACCAAGGGGGGTGGGTCTACCTGAGACACACCTGAGGGAGCGGGACCAGGAGGAGGGAGGGGGGCTACTGGGAGGGGGTCGTCCACGAGGGAGAGGGGCGGGAGGGGTACTAGGGAACTTCAGTGGGGGTGAAGATGGTAGAAGCAAACGGACTCGTCAAAGGTGACGTCTTGGGAGGAAAGCACACGACGAGAGCCCGGGTGGTAAAACTGCCAGGACGATGCGTCGGTGGGAAATCCAAGGAACACGCACCGAAGAGTGCATGGAGAGAGCTTGCCCGCAGGCAAATCGCGGACAAGAGAGAGGGAACCCCAGACCCGAAACGCCAAGCATCACCAACCTCGCCCGTCCACCGCAAAGTGGGGGAGGTCTCTGGGTGGGAGACACGGGGCCAGAGGTTGAGCTGCTCAGCGGCGTATCGGACCGCAAACGGCCACAGAAAATGGGGAGGAGCCACATAGATCATGGAGGTGCGAGCAACCTCCATGACAAGACCAATGTGGCACTCGGCAATCCCATTCTGCTGTGGAGAGGCCGAAAGCGTGTACGCCTGGCGGATGCCCTCAGCACCACAGAATTCCTCAAGGAGGTGGGAGCAAAACTCACCACCTCGGTCACAATGCAGCCGCAAGACAGGAAGGTTCTCACGGAACCGAGCGCGAAGCTGGCGACGAACAGCGCGGATCCAGCGGATCAAGACACCGCGGACATCCGCCTTGCTCTGCAAGGGGAAGACCGTGGTGTAGCGTGTGTAGTCGTCGACAACCAGAAGAAAGTAGCGCTCGCCACCCTGTCCAGTGACGCGGGCGGGGCCCCACACGCCCATGTGCAGGGTCTACAGAGGAGTAGTGGTAGGAGGAAATGAGGAGTGAGGAGCGGCGCGTTGCTGCCCCTCGACGCAGGGAAGGCAGGGCAGTGCAAGCGACCTCGGAAGCGGGGGCAGGGACCTGGGGAGACCAGACACAAGGAGACGCGATTGCATACCACGCAAGCGTGGCAGGGAGGGGTGGGCAAGACGTGGGTTCTAGAGGAGAGTCTGGTGCATGAGGAGACGACACGAACAAGATGAGGCTACCTCAAGCGACGCAGCTACCTGACCTGACTCAGCTACTAGTGCAGACTCAGTGGTCAGTGTGTACAGGCCAGACCCAGGCCTCCGGGTGAACGTGGCGAGGTGCTCACCAGTGCGCGAGTCCGTACAGATCGCCACTAGCTCACCTCCAGGCTGGGTGACAGTGACCCACGGATCCTGGAGGACAGAGGTAGCCACCAAGTTCTTATCGAACGAGGGGAGGTGGGGACCTGTGAGGAGGCCGAAAGGTGCCGCCGGACAAGGGAGAACAGTGGCGCCACGCGTGACTACCGGGCCCCCAGAGGGGTCGGCCAGTGTGACAAGGATAGGGACTGTGAGCGGTGTAACTGTGGTGCTATCGCGGAAGAAGCAACAAGACGCGCCTGAGTCAAGAGTAAAAGTGTGCAAGGCCTCCTCAAGCTCTGCACCTGTGCTAGCCGAGTCAAAAGCACCAAGACTAGCAGCCTCTACGCCACCAGGTGCCTCTCCACCCCCAGCACTAGTACCTCAAGCTCCGCCACCGGGGCTGCCCCACCGGACAGCCCACTCACGAAGCTGCTGCGGGGAGAGAGTCTCCGGCGGACGCTGCTGCCGCTGCTGTCCACCCCGAGAACCTCCGCGTCTACCAGCGGCACTACTAGCAGGAGTAGACTCACAGGGACCTCCAGTAGTAGCACACCAGGCTCCACCACTAAGGCTGTCCCACCGGACAGCCCTCTTGCAAAGCTGCTGCAACGAGAGCGGCTCCTGCCGACAAGTACGAGGACCGCCAGCACCAGCACCTCCAGCCCTAGCACGGCTAGCTCCGCCACCGGGGCTGCCCCACCAGAGAGCCCTCTCGCAAAGCTGCTACGGCGAGAGAGACTCCTGCACACTCGGCTGCCGCTGACGTAGGACAGTGGTAGTGGCCATGGCAGGCAGTGGCAGCTAGTAGCAGCAGCTGCATAGGAGCAGTAGCACAGGCGGCAGTAGCAGCGTAGTAGCACCTAGGGCGGCAGCAGGCAGTAGCTCCTAGGGCAGCAGCACCTAGCTCTTTTTTTTTTTGAAGGGTTTAGCAGGGCGCACTGGGGTACAACCCTTTCTTAGGGTTTAGTAGGAACCCTAACAAAGGGTTGTACCCCATGGGGAGTAACCCACTACAGCCTAACATCACTAACATGATATAAACATGGTTTGACAGTTCAGCCGTTCTAAGTGTTTCTTCAACCACTTTTCACCGTCAGCACCTAACTAAACTCACAATATCTATGGAGTGATTAGCCGTCAACCAGTCTTCGGGCGTATTTCCCCTCGACCTTGTGGCATGTGTCAATTCACAATTCTGTGTGATGTACAAGTCGAACCCATTTGCTAGAGTTTGAAGGTGCTGGTTTATGTTTCAAAATGGTTTGAGAATTAGTGGATTTAGCTGGTGGGTGACACAAGCACGCGCCCCCATACTTGCGGTGGCTTTTACTAGCTTTAGTTGCATAGTTAACTCAACGACTTGGGAGCAACATTTGTGCCACTAGCTGAGACACTTGCATGAAATCACATACAAGCTCAGCACATAGAAACCAGTTTCCGATCACTTGAAAGAAGCATCGCTACCCTACCATCCATCGCCTCCTCTCCCTTGCACTCAGCATGCGGCGTAGCCGTCGCCTTTCTCCCCACGTGTCATATGCGAGCTTGCTAGCCCGCGCAATCACATACTCCGCCTCTCTCTCATGCTGCCGCCACACCTGGTCCACAAACGCTGCCACCACCACTGCTCCCCCCTCACCCACTTGCAGTGACTCCGCACCCACCCCTTGCTCCGCGTGCTCATATCCCGGCAGGTGCGCGGAGGACCGCGGCGGGGAGGAGAACAATGTGGTCACGGGAGAGGAGGGGCGAGGAGAGGCTTGCACGGCGGGCAGCAACGGCAGGCGGGTGAGATGGTGGCGCATCTGGTGCGAGTGCAGGGCGGGCGGTGGGCGCGGCAATGGGATGATCCCTGCTGCGTTCACAGTGCCGAGTATACTGGCAGGGAGAGAAAGAATGTGAGACAAGGACTAGTATGAGGAAGGCATTGAAGGAACCAAGGTGATGGAATAAGAGCAACACAAGGCATGAATGACACATTGACTTATTGCTATTAAAAAAAAAATATATATATATATATATATCAAAGCTGGAAAAGGCATGAATGATGGGTATTTTCGCGGCTCAGGATGCACATGAGGGAGTGGCGTGGTGGGGCTTGCGAGAATGTGCTTAGATCCTGGCCCCCACTGACCTGCCTGTCTTGTGCAGCACTGTCGTGGCGGGGGGCAGGTAGTAGGGCAAGCGCCGCTGCCCATATACCTGCAAGGCAAGCAGCGAGGGGTGCAGGCACGGCAAAGGGAAGAAGCGTGCAGGAGACAAGGAGGGCGGGAGGGAGAGATGCAGAGAGGAAGGTATGGAAGTGCGAAGTGAAGGTGGGGATGAGGATTTGTAGAAGGTGCAAGGGAGGAACGAAATGATGGGAACAGAGACGAGGTGATTGAAGCATGGGCAGAACGGAGACACCTGCATGGCCATGGTGTGCAGGCACAGTGCAGTGGCACGGGGCCATGGCAGCAGGCGCGCAGTGCTGAGCTTGCACAGCAGCCCTGCCATGTCCGCTGGCGACCCCCGGTTGTCCATGGCTGCTGCGACTGGTGGCCGGGGCATGAGGGAGGAAGAGCATCGAGGGGGGAGGCAAGGGAAATACAAGGGCGTTGGTTACAGTAGAAGATTGATTGGCAGGCAGAGAGGGGTGAGTCATGGAATTCTCAAGAGCCAAAAGCAGCAAAACTGGGGGGTTAACAGTGAGGCATGCGTGGTAAGGCGTGGCGGAAGGCAGTTCAAGAAACAGTGGTGGATGAACAAGGCACGGGGGCACTCACTGTGGCTGTCATTGCGGTAGCCCTTGTCGCCTTGCGCCTGGGGAGAGCATGTGGGCATGCCATGAGATGCACATGGAAGCAAAGCAAAGACTACTGGAGATGGAGTGAAAGAAGAGAAGTGTGAACAAAGACCACAGAACGCGCACGAATAAATTGCTGACATGGTCAGGACAACTTATCCCTGCCTTACACCGGTGAGACATCCATTCATCCATTCATCCTTCCCCCTGTCCCCTGCCCCCTGCCCCATGCCCCATGCCCCATGCCCCATGCCCCATGCCCCCTGCCCCATGCCCCCTGCCCCATGCCCCATGCCCCATGCCCGCATGCCCCCTGCCCCCTTCCCAATGCCCCATGCCCCCATGCCCCCTGCCCCATGCCCCATGCCCCATGCCCCATGCCCCATGCCCCCATACCCCCATGCCCCCTGCCCCCTGCCCCCTGCCCCATGGCGTACGCGCTGCAGCAGCAATGACGCCTCCTCCACAGCGCTCAGGTCCCTCACGCTCACTGCCCGGCTCTCCCCCTCCACGCGCTCCGCCACCTGCCTCTGCTGCGCCACTGACATCCCCTGCCAGCTGCCGAGGCGAGGGTGAGCGGCGAGAGACAGGCACGGAGGGAGAGCCGAGATGAGTGCAGCAAAGATTAAGAGCGGAAAGGAGGTGAAAAGGAAGTGTGACCAGGGGACTTGTTGCAAACAAGGGAATGAGGAGATGGGGAAGGGGGAACTAATAAATTCAGTACCTCATGCTCTCCCAGTCATGGTGCAGTGCCTCTCACAAAAAGGGGTACGAGTGTAGGGAGAAAAGAAAGGAAATGAAAGAGCGACGACATAAGGGGACCAGGCAGCAGGGAGTGGTAGATAGCGGTGAAGATAGCGGTGCGAGTGCACTAATGAGATAGGACGGACAAGGGATGGGAGAAGCAGGGCAGGAGGGCACCTGCGCGCCCTGGGCGGGCCGTACGGCTGGCGCAGCTCCGATGAGAAGCCCAGCGCCAGCAGAAATGCCTGGTCCGTGAGGGCAGTGAGGGAAGGGAGAGAGGACAGGCGACACATGGAGAAGAATGTGCGTGCAGCGAGTGGGGGGAATATGGAGTTGAAGGTGAGTGGGTGTGCGCAGTGCGGCTGGACATACAACTTGGAGAGGTGCGAGTGGGTGGTGGAAAGAGTGCCTGGCGGATAGAAATGTGGTCCAGAGGGTAGGGTGATGTGGTTACCATGCTGGCAGGGCACGGTTGGTGCTCAGTCAGAGAACATATGACAGGGATGCTGTATGCGTAATGACATACACACTTGCACATGCACGCACCTGTCGCTGTGTGAGGTGCACGGATGTGCTGTGAGCGCCATGTGCTTGCAGCAGCCCTGTGACACACGGCCACCCCACCGCCTTGAACACCTGCTCCGTGGCGGGCAGGGTGAAGGGCAGCGCAGAGGTGGGGTGGGAAAGGGGGTGGCAGAGAGTGTGCTGGAGAGCACCACAAGGCCATTTGCACCTTTAGTGTTCAAAGCTGGGCCTTGAACAGGCAATCGCCCTCCATTCATCACTGCACGCTGCCCACATTCATCACCTCTCCCTCTGCCCTCCACCTCCACGGCTGTTTCACGAGAGTGGATGCAAGCAGCACTACCTCATGTGCGCACACTCGTCCCTCACCACCACTGGACTTGACCTGAACTTGTCCTGCACACTGGAATGAGCAACGCACTCGCATCACACACCCTCGCCATTCTCCTTCCTCCTGTCCTGACCCATGCCCTTGTGCTGCCCCAATCCACGTGCCTCCCCAGAGTCCGCCCTTCTGCAGTGCCATGCTGAGCAGCCCTTACTCCCCTAGACTAGCGTGTGCAGTGGCATGGCATGAGAGGGGGAAGGGGGGGGCACTGACGAGGTCGGCAGCGGTGTTATCGGAGATGCAGTTCATGAGCCACAGACACTGCTGCACCGCCACTGCCATGCCACTGCACAACGAACACACGAGTGTGCACGGGCGCAGACACACACCCACACACACACATCCACACATGCACACGCACAAATGCACATCCACACGTGCGCGCGCGCACACACGCACACACACACACACATACATGCAGTGGTGCGCATGGTGGGGTTAGGGAAGGGTCAGCTGGAGGAGGGGAGCGCGGGGAAGGTGTGGATGAGAAAGGGGTGGACACAAGGGTACCAGCGAGAGCGGGTGAGCGACGTGTGTTGAATAGAGGAGGTGAAGCGGATGGCAGCATGGTGACTCCATGCGAGCTGCTGAGCATGCAGCGGTGACCGGGCCTCAGTGTGCGGCAGCAGCACGTGCATGGGGCATGGTGGCCACGAGTGTGTGTCATGCACGTGGCCAGTTGCAACGAGGAGGGCGCGAGGGCGGAGGAGGGGGGAGCGGGGCGTACCTGGGCAGGGAGCGCATGAGGCCACTGCCAATGCACTTGTCCTCGTCGCGCACGTGCAGCATGGTCTTCAGCGACAGGCCCCGCACTGCCAACGGCGAGGGAATAAGGTGGGGTAGTAACGCAAGGCATGAGGGCCATGCTGCAGCACGGTGGTGGTGACAGCGAGGCGGGCAGTGGGCTCAAGGGGTGAGGTACCGAGGTGCCATGAGACGGTGACTGAAAGAGAGGACCGAGGGGCGTTGGAGGGGGCAGGGCAGGGGGAGGTGCGTGTGGCGGGCGGGGAGAGTGGCTTGTGCAGACCTTACATGCCGGCCATTCGTTGCTGCTGCCACTGCTGCATGAGGCGAAGGGTGCAGCAGGGGCGTGCGGGTGGTGTGTGGAGTGGCAGGGGCAGGGGCAGTGGAGGGCGTGCGCTGCTGCGAAGAGCAGAGGCAGCTTTGCCACACTCGCCAACGGAAACTGCTGGCCCGCTCGCACGTTCGCGGACTGGCCAGAGGGAAGATGCACGACTGCCACACCGAGGCGCAAGTGCCTTGAGCATGGCACGCATGCATGCACGCAGAGACACACAGTGGAGCAGAGGAGGGAGGGACATGGGGGATGTGGCACGGAGGCACATGGGCGCAGCAGCTTGGGGGAAGCAGTGGGAAGACAGCGGTAGAAAGTGGGAGTCGTGCATTCCAAAGGGGCGGCTGGGAGAACCCACAATCCATCTCAGCGCCTTGCACGCACCACCCACTGCAATGCGCTGCTGCCCTCCCTCTCCCATCGCAAATACGCATCCCCTCTCCCTTCACTCGCCCTTCCACTCATCTCGCTCTCCTGTCTAGCCCCTCTTCACTTTCCTGCTTCCAGTTCCTCCCTCCCCCCCCCCCCCTCCCTCTCCTTCCCTCCCCCCTTCCCCCTCCCCCCTCCCCCCTCCCCCCACCCCTCTTCCCCCTCTCCTCTTCCCCCTCCCCCCACCCTTCTCCCTCCTCCCCCCTCGCCGTCCTGTCACCTGCCATGGCGAACAGCCAGTCGCCGGAGCTGCCTCTGCAGGCGTCGCGCGTTCGTCGCCAGCGATCGCGCGACGTTGCTCGCGTGCGATGAGGGGCCGCGGCCACTCTCGCCCGGCACGGGACCGCCGTGCGACGGCACGTCTGGAGCGGCGGTGGGGGTCGTGGAGAGGCGGCGCTTGGACCACGCAGAGAAATGGCGCGGGGGGAGATCGAGGACGGGTCGGTAATCAGCAGGGGGAGTATGCACGGCAGTAGAGTGGGGCTGGACGGCAGGCGCGGTGAAGCAGCGGCACGGAGGTGGGGACGCGGCGGGTACGTCGATTGAGCGGGGAAGCGCCGTCGGCATGACGACTATGAGAGAAAGGCGCCGCGTGGTCCCAGTAGGAAGGGCGTGGCACATGAAAGGATTCCACTCGCGATTGGAAACTCGCACCAGAGCTCAGAGTGCAACCATTCTCAGGCCCGCTGACGTAAGCAGTCAGTCGCATGTCGTGGTGGAACAATTTCAGTGCTCCCCTCCACGATAACTATAATGAATATGAATTCATTACTATAGAGGCTGCTCCTAGCCAGGACAGCCCCGAGCACTTCGCGTCACTTTCAGGTTCGGCCTATACTTCGGCCCGAACCCACTGCCGTGTCGCTCCGCACCAATCGCGACACATCCAAACCATGCACGTCCCGAGGTCCACGCCTAGCACGTATTCCCCTTATAAATGCCTGCTTTATTCATTGTCTCGTCATTCTGTAATTCATCATTTTTATTAAGTATTCCGCGCACTCTGTTTAGTATGACTCATAACACTTGGTATCAAAGCTACTTTCCTAGCTCACCCCGCTTTTTAGAGTGTATACCCCTTGCGGGGGGTGGGGGGGACAGGGAAGGATGCCGTGGAATCCAGGAGCTGAGCGCTAGTCGGTCAGGAGAACGGGTACCGTAGTTGCTCCTAGCGGCCACGAATTTTGAAGGCGCTCCTTCAACACCGCCGGATCCTTGCCCTTGATGGTCGAGATGGACCATGACCTCCCCCCCGGGTGGTGGGCAGCTGTGGTTGTCGCAACGTGAGTTAACTTTGTTGAGATAATATCGACACTTAAGCACTTCAAGGAAATTCGTGTAGTACAGTAAAGTACCGATAGGCTGACGTCAGCAAAGCGCTACGCGACCTAGGATGACGTCAGCACGTAGCTATAGACTTCGCGAAAAGTTACGTACCGTTTCAGAACAGGAATAGAACAGTACAGTAGACGAACAGGTACTTTACTCTAGCTATATATTCTGTATGCTTGTCATTTTATAATATATCTGATTTCAGAGACATTGATCCTGAAACATATCACTACATGGGCTTTTATTAAGTCCAGACAAAGCCTTCATAACTGGCTTTAACTCATATAAGACTTCCGCTACGACAGGAAGCTACCATCCTAAGTAGTACGATCCTATTCAATCACTTCAAATTCTAACATGGTATTGCGAGCGTCTTAGAATACTACAAGCTTCCAACTACGTCCTCTGCAACTATGTCTGGCTCTCCACGATCCAACAACGGGTCTTCTGTTACGAGCCCATCACGCCCAACAGCGTCTCCAGCTGCTGACAATTCTTATCTGCAGCAACAACATCAACAACAACAATATCAGCAACAACCGATGTACGGCATGCCACTGAGCAGTCAGCCCGTACACACAATTGCAGCAGCGGCATCATCGACAGCAGCCGCAGCAACAGCAGCATCAGCAGCCACAACAGCTGCAGCTGCAGTCACTGGTTCTTCTACTCAACCAGGACAACAGTCCAGTTTCGTACCAACTGGACCTTATCAATATCAAGGTGCTTACCAGCCAACAAATCTTCAACAGCGTGTCAATGCTGCCGTCTTGTCACTTAACCAAATGTTTCCAACTCCTATGAGCCTTGATGGCTCCAATTATCAGCATGGACTGATGCCACAGGGAAGCGACGGGTCGAATAACTCCTTCTCTTTCGTTCCTGCTGGACAAGGACAACAAGCACCACAAGGGTCACAGATGCCATCACTTTATCAGCTACAATCAGCTGACGGTACCGGAAATTATCTTCCCGCTTCTGCAAACCCAACAAAAATTAAAACGACAGTGCCTTTTAACGGTCAAGACTTCTATACCTGGAGCTTTGAATTTGAGCTTCTTGTTCAGACCGCGGGGTTCTGGCAGCTGTTCGACGGCACAGCACCCTTTCCATCTCACGGGTCACCACTTCAACAGGCCACTTTTCGATCAGCGTCGCTGACTGCATACACAGTTCTCGTTCGTAATCTGACACCGACTGAATAACTTGGTATTCGTTCCTTTCGTACCAGTGCCGCTCCCGCTGAAGCAGCTTGGTTATACCTGCAAGGAGTTCACATGGCAAAGGACACGGTCAACCAAGTCGAGGAACGAGGAGTACATCATTAAGATGAAGACTGAAGTCTTCTTCAACAGAATCAAGAATGATGTTACCCATCCAGTGTGTTGTAAGACGTTGATTGTTGGCGACGGTTACGACGCACGGATTTTGAAGACGACGCTGATTGATGACGAAGCGATTTTCTGATGAACACATATGCTGACCGCAACAACTGTCGAGATACCAAGTGTTGGGACCTTCCAAGGTATGTGCAAGGTCCCAACACGCACATACCTTGGAAGGTCCCAACACTTGGTATCTCGACAGTTGTTGCGGTCAGCATATGTGTTCATCAGAAAATCGCTTCGTCATCAATCAGCGTCGTCTTCAAAATCCGTGTGTCGTAACCGTCGCCAACAATCAACGTCTTACAACACACTGGATGGGTAACATCATTCTTGATTCTGTTGAAGAAGACTTCAGTCTTCATCTTAATGATGTACTCCTCGTTCCTCGACTTGGCTTCAATCTGATGTCATCAGCACAGCTCATGAGGAATGGCATTACTCTTCTTGGTGAACCGGGCAAGTTTACTTTAAAGTATGGAGACAAGAAACTCGGCACGGCAATTGAACAGAACGGTGTATTCGTTCTCAACTTCGTACCTGAACGCACCACTGCCGACTCCGAGAATATTCTCTCTCTTGGCCCATGGGAACATCGTGATGACATCGATTACACCGATGATACCGTTCCTCGTGACGGAGTTGTTCCCACGTCTTCAACCACAGCTACCGCTGTCATGCTGACCTTCGACAATCAAGGTTTGAACGATGTCCAGAACTCCCGAGATTATCTTACTCATGTTGGTGGATGGGGAGATACGACGAATATGCCCACGGGTGAAGGCACTTGGGGGGCACAGGAACCTGACGAGACCACTTGGGGAGAAACACCTGCTGATCGTGACCAACGTCTTCTCACAGAAGTAGCGCAGCGTGTCGCTGACATGGAAGTTCTTGTCTCCGGACGACTTGTCGGTGTTGAGCCTAAACCTGCAGCATCAGATCAAGAGAGCGGGGAGTTAGTTCCTTCACCGGGCGAATCCATCGACGTTGAAATCAAAATTCCACCACCTAACCTTACCAGGTTTATCCCGCCTGTCACAGATCATGTTCACGCTGACGGTCATCGGTTGCTGTTATCTTTCTTCGCTAACGCCGAATATTATCTGCGCGCACAGGGACAGAAAGCAACTGCAGACACCTGGCATAAGCGTCTTGGTCATCCGTCGCAGTCTACTCTCAACAACACAATCAAAGCAGCTGTTCTCGACAAGAATTCGCTTCTCTTACCTGGCGGCCTCGAAATGAAACCGGTTAATCGTCCATCACCCTGTTTGATCTGCACAGCAGCAAATCTACCGCACGAACCGTACCCGACTCATTTTCCTGGCGCTGAGGATTATCGGTTAATGGAAAAAGTTTACAGCGATATTCTAAACTTACCTGCGGAGGGTTTCAACGGCGAGAAATACGTTATCACGTTCACTGAAGCTTCTACTCGATACGTCTGGACTGGTAACATGACTAACCGTTTTCTTGCTTTCACAGCGTTTCGGACATGGCTACCTCTCGCAGAACGCGAGTCCGACACAAAACTCAAAACGTTCCAGTGTGACGGAGCTGGGGAATATCGCAGCCTCGAGTTTACAGCGTACCTACAAGAAAGAGGCATACGGCGCCTGTTCTCACCTCCTCACGCTCACCAGCAGAGCGGTGTAGCTGAACGCCTCAATCGTACCTTGCAAGAAAAGATGCGAGCACTACTCGCACAGTCTCAACTCGGCCCACTCTACTGGACCTTTGCAATGGACCACGCAACACTGTGTCAAAAACAAGAAGTGATTGAACTATGAAAGATTGGAGTACAAGTATGAAACCCTAGAATTGTGTACCCCCTAAAGGCTAACCCACTATAGCCTACACAACAATAACATATAGATAATATTTGACACACCCCCATATGCAAAGTGGGGGAGAGCAAGGGGTCACAAAACCAGTCAAGAAAGACAAAGCAAGCTCAGGGTGGATCACAACGTCACCACACAATCTGAGCACAAGCAAAGGGCCACTGGGCCAGTTCAAATGCAGAGGCATATATACAACACAAACAGCAAGGTGATCTCAACCTAACAAAACAAACAAGCAGGTATATATATATAGAGATCACAGTACAGACAAAGCCTACAGTAAGTGAGGAACAGTGGGCACAAGCCCCAGTACAGTGCAGAAGCGCTGATGATCACCAGGCTGAAGAGCCTTGGTGAATATATCAGCGGTGTTGGCCCGAGTGGCCACGTAGCGCAGACAAAGCTGACCGCGCTGCTGCAGCTCTCGAGCCAGGAAGTAACGGAGAGCGATGTGCTTCGTTCTGTGCTCCAGTCTGTGCTCCTGACACAAGGCAATGGCAGCCTTGTTGTCGACGTACAGCACTGGAGGAGAACTAGGCCGCTCTCCCAAGTCGGTCAGCAGGTAGGTCAGCCAGCGTAACTCCTGTGCAGCCATGGCTCTGGCGTAGATCTCAGCCTCACAACTGGAGCTGAGAACTGAAGACGAGCGAGTAGAACGCCAAG